GTTGATCGTCGTTCTTGCAAGTTAATCTTAAAAGATAGACATAGAGTCGCCGACTTTTTTTTCTTACATATTTTTTTGATATCGTGAACCGTTTTTGCAGCGTACGCCTCGGAAATCTATAATGATTGATATTTTTTTCTCATTTCTTGTATTAATCACAGGGCGACATTATAAATTTACCTAGATATTATGCTAAATCAATTAATAGTGCCTTAGATTACTTTTGCACCACACGAAATGTCCTAACGAATTCGTTCACAAAAACAGATACTGAATATTCAAAGTATGACATGTGATCGACTCCACTGAGCCGCAAAACGGCTGTTTTGAAAGTTTATCAGCCTTGACGAATCGCTTAAACGTGTCCGGCCTCCGCGGTTGGTCTATTATAATTATCGGGCCTTATTGAATGAAGTAAGTACCGCATTGACTCAGTGGTCAAAGTTTAGGCATTAAGTGGAGGGCGGGCATGTGACGCAACTTGACGACAAAAGTAAAATAATATGCTTCGCGATCTGGTTATATCAAAATACAGGAGTAAATGTTTTTTTTTATGATTCAAGGTAGACAAAGATTTTCTTAAAAATCTATGCCAAATGCGAATTTATTTTTTATTTTATAATGTCTGTTTGTTTGTGTCAAAATTCTGAGTTAGAACTCACTGTACTATTTTTGCAATTTCGTTGTAAAATTAATAAATAAAATCCAACTTATCAAGTGGCTTATTATAAAGCTATCTATCTATATAGAGGTAATTGAGATTCATTCATTATTTTTTGCTAAACAATAATTACAAATAAGTTGCAATGAAAATATATAAAAGATACCTAGACCTTTTAATCTCCCAACTCTCTCCTTACATTAATGAAAAAGGTCGAAAGTCAGAGCTTGACATTAATGATTCAGGAACTGTGATTTTTTTCAAGATTTGAAAGTTTTAAAACAGATAATTATGTGGCTGTGTCAACAAAATGAATGAGTGATATTATGAAATAAACTTTAACTCAAGTACTATTTCCCAACAAAATAGACGTTATTACATTTAAGAAAGTTTGACATTACGCATACTTTTATTTAAAAATATATAATAAATATATGAGTCACTTCAGTAGTTACACCTTTAGTTAATTTGAACTGAATATATGCTTCAAAGCATCTCTAGTTTTCATTAAGATGTAAGGGAACACAGCGTTTGTATGTTCAATAAATATGTTGGATTAGGATAATGGATTGACTATCTGTCCATCGCAATCATAGGGCATTAGTCACGATAGTCAAAGGGTTGCGGCCTCGTCTTCGTCTATAATTTTTTCTATTACAATAATTGTTTTTACCTAATAACAGTTCCTCGGTACGTCACGCTGTGGCCTCCAAGACAAAGGCCACACGCGAACTTTTGGTCATAATGGCTGGTAATATGTGTACATAATGTTTAAATATCTTCTTGCTTAACTTAAATGCCGTTTTTATGGTAAGATTTGGGATCGTCATTTGGAATCTTACTTCGATTTTAGTTTTTCATGAGGAAGCGAGATGGTGCTTAATTATGTATTCCGTGTACCTAAGGAGTTTAGAAGAATCTGTATAATATATGCGATTATTTTTTAATACCACTTTAAGAAATAGTTAACACTTAAGTTAGGGAAAGAGAAGCTAAAATGTTAAGTTAAGGAGGAGGTAACTTTACAACATAACTTAACTTTACATAGTATTTTTCTACTGTCTTAGTTTACGCGAGCAAATCGGGTTTTAAACCTTAAAAGTGTTTTATTTAAAATAGTATTTTTCTTTTAGCAGTTTGTCAAAGTTCCACCTTCAATAATCTAATTGAACGTCATACTTATCGTTAGATAGCCTAGTAGCTACAAGAAAATATCTTATATGGAGTAAAAATATAAAAATATTTATTTATATTTAATAACTGAAACCAATCATGTTTTCTTATCATTAACTACATATCAATTACTTTTATTTATTTGTATAAAGGCGTCTTGATCAAATGCCTAGTGTTATACCCTGCTCTTGATAATGTAGTCGTGGTTAAATATAAGTGTTAAAAAAGGAACTAAGAAATGTTAGAAAAAGAAATATTAAAAAAAGTATTAATTAATTAAGAATGTAATATTTAGTGTAAAAAATTTCGATGTAATGATTAGTTCCCGGACTGGACGTTAATAAACTTCAAAGTTAAAAGCCGTCAAATTACACTTTAATATTCCATTTAGTAGTGTGTAATAATAGGTAATGAACTTTATTACTTTTCAATTACACTGTAGATAATTACACTAAGAAAGCTATCAAAGCTTTGAGCTAAGATAATGGGAGCAAACTCGAATGGTATTATAAGTAATAAACATTATAATCATATTATTGCAAGTGCAGGTCACGATCTTATGACCTAATGCAGAATGTAGGCCGCTTATTACTAAGTATTCAGGTTCCGAGTATTCAAAATATTAAACGTTTATAAGCAGCTTAGTATTTTTTAAATGTACTGTATTTAAAACATATTAAATGAACACTTTCGTATGTGTGTAAATTAAACTCATACCTATACGATTATATGCACTGTTTATTGTTTGATATTGGATGAAGGCTAACGTAAAAGGAACAGTAAAAAATATTTAAAAGCAAATTAAATGGTATGTCCTATACAGTATTTTTGACAATGCTGAAACGCTTTTGCAACGAGGGACAGCAGTTAACTTTATTAGTATAATTGGTTCCTATAATTTACAAATTACTCAACCGATATTGGTGACCTTTACTTCCAAATCAAAATATAATACAAAACATTTTCATTACATTAATATAGAACTGTTCGTCGTGTCGATATTAAACAAATAACGGAACACGGTCACTTTCCATTTTGAAGTCCGGTTGAATGACCACCGGCTGTTGTCGTCCAAATATGCAGATAGCATTTACATTTACAGATTTCCAATCATATTTCAGACATTAGTATTAATTTATACGATCAATAATATTAACTAGTTTGAAATATTAACATAATCCTTCTAAAATATTTAAGCGGCTGAGAACCAATCTTATGCGAAATCTGTGCATCAGTTCGGGTATAACATAAAAGCCCACGAAACTTTTAAAAAATACTGATAAAGATTAATAGAATATCAAATAGTGTGAATTTTTAAAAAGTGCTTATAATTATGTAGATATGAGATACATTAAATATACATGATGGCATATAAATATAATATATAAAAATCTGTCCCATCCTATCTTATATAACAAAGTAGAAGTAATAAATATACTTGTGTGTGGTGGCATCGCAATAAAGTAAATCTTCTAACAAGCTATCATGTTGCGTTTTCCGCGATTTCCCTTTCACGACAAATCACATATAAAAACAATACTCAGTATATTTGTTCGTAATTCTCCGTTCAATTGCCGGATTTCACGGTAGTTTGCGATGCGCATTTGTGCCGGCATTTGTTACGAATTGAAAAAAAAACGATAGTCATTTAGCGTATGTATTGTACCCCGCGTTTCCCGAGACAGATTTATACAGTCCCATATCATAGTTTGGCACTCTTTTCAGTACTGTAGTGGTAGACTTTAGGAAAAGGAAATTTGTTGTTACTACATCTTAATTATTGCATTCTGCGTTTTATAATCGATAGATAAGTCCAATATGTGGATCTTGGGGCACTCTTAAACTAATCTCCGTTAAGTTTAATTATAATGGGTATGTATAATTAAAATGAGTTCAAAACTATTTATAGGGTGTGTGAGCTAAAAATTTAACACCAACTTTGGTAGTTTGCATACACATCATTTGCTATTAGTACGTATAAGTACGTATAAAAAACTACGGTCTTGTTGACCCGATGCACATGTTTCATTTATTGGCTGGGGATTCGTTTTGCAAAAAAGAGGGGGGAAAGAAGAGAGAAATCTCCGAGCTTACCATCAAGTGCCTGTTTCTACCCTCTTGTCTCTATCATAAGAAAAGGGCTTGCAATATATAATTTAGTTGAGTAATTAATTAACTAATCATTAATTTGGTAATAATTAATCGTCTTCTTATAAATTACATAATACAAGTTCTCATTTTATATTTATATTATTATGTAGCAATTATAAATATTAATTATGATTCTGAAATTCTTTCGATGCACATATTATTTGGCAATTAATTTTATCGATAATTATATAATTTGACACCTCTTAATTATACATGTGTTAAGCAATTATTCATGTAATAAAGATTAGATAATAAAACTTATAAATATAGGTACTTGGTTTTGTATTTCGAATGTGTAAATTAAAAATCCCTGACATAAATACATCGTGTTAATCATTTTGAAAAAAAAGAGACGTGCTGCAATATCACGTTTTACAGTTTGAAAGCTTTTTTAGAAAATTTCTGTCCTGCCCAAGTCGTGATTGAATTTATATAATGCAGTACACGTGAAAAAGTTTTCAGTTTCAAATCTTATTAAGAAAATCAAGGCTAGTTCCTTTGTGTGGATTATATACATACATACATTCTAACCCTATATCCATAAAATATTGTTCCATAAACCTTGAGGAGGTCTTTCGATACATTTCAGCTTGATATAATTATATTTCAATGATCCTGTTTCCACTTGTCAAATTATTCTTGTTATAACCAAATAATAAGAAGAAACATAGAATTAAAGTAAATAAAGCTAAAGTTGAGCGTAGTGAACAAGTTACAGATACATTATAAAAATAAATAGGTACAGTAAAAAAATTTACCGTCTTTTTTTTTTTTAAATGACATTACAAATAAATGCTAGTAGATACTTGTGAATGCACGTGGGCACCAAACTTTTAAATAAAACACTTTAACAGTTTAAAACGCGATATATTTTAGTTAAAGTGTTTTATTTAAATGTACTACTCGCGTAAACTGCAGACAATATTTATCATATACCTATTAATAGAATATTCTTAAAATATTCTATCCAGCCTGTCTTCAAGATAATTGCGAGAAATTGAAAATTATAGGAGAAATGCGCTGCCTTTCTCTGTATCCGGCTAGGAGCGGTCCACCATATTCGTTTGGGCTCAGGACGGTCAGTCAGTGAAAGTAATGAGTCATATGACCCGTCCTATTGTTGAGACTAGTTCTAGTTTTTCAAGCGGTGATAAACATTACATTATTATTGCGTCAGGTTATTTTTTTCACGCGTAATTTGTTACGACTTCAATTGGTCATTCACACTGAGTAACATGTTTTATTACTTATAACATTTAAAAATTTCACGGCTTTGTCAGATCAATAATAGCCGTGGAGTATGAAGTTTGGATTTAGTCCGTGGATTTCCGAATGATCTTAAGCTTGGATCAAATGGACATTCCAGATTAGATGCTAAATTGTTCGGGAAATTCACCTTACCTCAAAACGACATCCTTCTCGTCCCACTTAATATGTAGGTTTAATAAATATTTAATTTCTTTTAAAACTCTACTCTGAAAATATCGACTGGATTAATTAAAAAAAAATACTCATCATAAGTTAAGCAAGGAAAATTACAGTAATAAATGCTAATTAAGATGAAACGGTATGTAAATATCTACTACAATTTTGATTCAATCTTCGATAAGTGACAACGATTATTATACAAAGACTGTGTTCGAGCAATAAAATGCTGCACATTTACGGCATTATGTGTCCACAGATCCTTGAATCGCAATAACAAAGCCGCGGAGGCGTGGTATAAACAGCCATATTGAACAGGATAGAGTGAAATCTGGGTCAGAGTTATATCCTGGACGAATTGCGAAATGTTGATAATTAGTCTATTAGAAAACGCATTACACGAGTATAGACATCGCGTTAACTAATTACAACAACACTAATTATAATTTATTAATGAATAAAGCAGAGAATCGAATCGTTTTTTTTTTAATGTCCGTACCCAAAAGGCAAAAACTGTGTTCATGTCACCAGTGTGTATCTCAAACACAGCTATATAGTTAGCATTCTCAGAAATATTTCTGTAGCTGCTTATACCACATTACATCTTTCACCCGTTTGCGTTTGATAGTAATAGTTTTGGAAATGGCAACAGGTAGGCACTTGAATTAACTAGAGATATGAAATTTGTGTATCTAGTTTGCAAGACTGCACGGAAGCCTTCGTGCATGAGATCGACTTGAAATGACCGATTTTTTAAATATTATGCCATTACTTAATTTTCACTCCCCGAGATAGTCTAGGCAACTTGAAATAATAATATATTTACTATAATTATTATTACCTTAGCAACAAATGCGTATTGTTTACATTTTAGTAGCGAAGTAACATTATGGAGTTATCAAATATCGTTAAACGTCGCTATTCTATTGTTTACTATAATTATATGTTGCAATGTGTAAACTGGCTTAATAATTCTAATATTTTTATCAGTCGACTCACCGTGCCTTGTAATTATATTGTGGATAAGATCTTTCGCCTGAGTTTTTGTAAGCAAAGTTTGTATTATAGGATACATTTTCAACTCCTACACAACACTGTTACTAGAAGTTCAACTCCTTACTTTCACTCTTTAAAAACTTTTAGTACAGATAGACTATAACACAGGCAGCCATCTTATCGATATAAAGTAGATTGTCCCATGTATATAATCTGTGGACGTAATTTGACACATAAATTAAGCTTTGTAATCCATAATTATTTAGTCTTGGGATTGATGTTATATGTATTATAGTGTTATAAATTATCACGTCTCTCCGCTCGCGTTTACTATGAACCTGACACATGTAATTTTAAAGAACTAAATACAAAACTTCTGTTTGAAGTAACCTGTATTAATATATTTTTTAATAATTCACATTTTGAATATATATTTTATTTCATTTCAGATATAGCTAATCCACTCTGCGTGCTAGAATCGGATTTCGGTTTTAAAATAAATTGCGCTTTCAAGAAGTCAGGTCTCTTCAGAGTACGAAATCTCGGAGGGATTAAAGCACACGCCAGTTTGGGTAAGGATTACATAATATTTTCTTTAAGAGAACAGACAAGTATGAACCCAATATTTGTCTGTTCTCTATACTTGATGATAGGTGGAATACGCCCGCCAAATAATATCTAAACAGGGTGTGCTGTCGACCTATTTTAAATTTGGATATCCGGAAATCCACGTACTGAAACCGAAACGCGACTAAACTTGACCACTTTTTCACCTGTGGTCGGTGTTTTGTGACCTGGGCGTTACCACCCATTTAGTACCAACATTTCCGGACGAAGTCCAACATTTTCCAAAAAAAATATCAAGAGATTAGGAAAATGTTGGACACGATCCGCTGATTATTAGAAATACATTGCTAACATTACACCAACGAGTCCGTCAAATATACCGACTACGTATAAAGTCACGACTTGCAGGACATCTTTTAAATGTGTATAGATAATAACATTCTACACACGTCAAAGCAAAATTTGTAATATCTGTAAATAACGTAAATAATAATTTATTCACAAATTACAGGATTCAGTCTTGGCGATGAGCTCGGTTTCGATCAGTCCCTGACAAACCAAGACCCAAGTAGACGAAGATCTGTCAGTTTCAAGAATGGCCAACCCAATATCCTCGTTGATTCTACCAATAGATCTGTTGCTAAGCAAGAGGTAAGTCTTATGATTAGTCACATTATTTATTAAAAGAAAATAATCAGTAGAGCGGGCCAATAGATCGATTCTATATTTAAACCGTGTTCTGCCTATTATTAATTTGTTACTATCTTTTATTATGACGTAATCATACTATCCATTATTAGTTTAGATTAAAATATCCGTAATTAAACTTTCAGAAACGTGGCAAGCAGAACAGAATCATGATGCGGCCAGTACCCCAATCAAATCGTCCCAATCAAGCCGCTATGAACAAGTTAACTACTCTTCACAAACGAGTCTCAACAACTATGCAACCGATCATCGTATCACCAACGCTCGATGCAAGACTCAACAGACCACAGCCATCAGTCACAATGGCTAAGCCGATGCCCATGGGCGTTCCTCCATTTAGACCCTTACCACCCAAAGAAGAAACCCTCAAAGTTCTGCCCATAGCTACGAGAAAAACGTTCACCCCACTCCAGATACCATCCACCATATCACAAAGTGAGAACCCCGCCATGCACGACAACGTTTCGAAAATGGTCTCACAAATGCAACCACGCATCACTTCATCGAACATCAAAACGCTTAATCCATTCATCCCTATACCTCAAGCCAATCCATCACCATTCACACCAATTAATCCAAATGCTATTAATTTTGTAGACCCAGTCCCAAAACAAGAATTGTCATACGGTTATAACACTAAAAAAGCAGATGATTACAACACTATAAGTGGTTACAGTGATGACACAGCATTAAAGTTCAGTAAAGATGATATCAATGCCAAGATTGCTGAAATAGCCAAGGCCGGGAATATCTCCATGGAAGCGGTGGAAGCTGCGATAGCTCTGAGACAGCAACAACTGTTGAATAAATACGCGAACATCCAGATCCCGACAACATCATCGACGACGACAACAGAAGCTCCTGTTGTATTTGAACTAGAACCAGAACCGGAGATAATCGTTGCTCCACCTCCACAAAAGCCTAAAAGGTATAGATGATTTATAAAAATAAATAAGTCCATGTGCCAAGTGATTTATATTGTTGATTTGACTACTATAACCAAAAAATTGGCTACATCTTACTAATTAAAAGACATCGACAATTTTTTATTTGTTCAACTAAAACTTGCCTCATAATATTATACTTATAATTATGCTCTTTCCTAGTTGTATTAACATTGTTTATTGTGCTTTTAACATAATAAAAAAAGGAAAAAATAACTGGTTCACCAATTCAATGTCTTTAGTTCCTATAAAAGTTTTTAAGAGTACTAATTTAACCTATTACAGAAATCCCACTATCGGAAAAGTGATGAACGCCCCACGAGAATACTATCCTGTGGGCTACGAGAAAAATTTCGATGACCACTTCCAATCAAAGGTGGATCTTCCGGATACTAATTTCCATTGCGGAGATCAAAAATACTTTCCCGGTCTGTATGGTGACGAGAATCTGGGGTGTATGGTAAGTGATATTTATAATTGTAATTTATTATAGTGATAATTGAAACTGGATAGCTTTTAGGTTATTATAAATTATGGCTTACGTTTAAAACTGTTAAATCTTCATTAAATACACACTCCTTCGCTAGTTGGTGTCGTAAGCTTCTGTTCTCGTGGCTATGTTTTACTTTATATTGTTAATTTGAGAGTTGCAACGGAAACTGTAGTCAATTGAGCTATCTTAAACTTCGCTAACAGAATATTTAAAATGTCAGCCCTTTACGACTACTTATGCCACACAGACAGACATTTGATAAATTTTCTCCTCTATTCTTACTTCTGATACTTGATTACATATACAGATTGTATAACAAATTATTCGATAATTAATAAAACTAGAAATGGCAAAACAGGTAATAAATGTTTGTATTATAATTCGCATTGTTAAACAGTTTCTAACTAACTAGAAAAATAGTATTCTTGCTTTAGCGATACATTAATTAAATGTATCGTGTAATTAATATCTTGAATGAAAGGTATTTACCATTAAATTTTAGGGATTAATAGCAACTTTTTATATATTACTTTGAATCCTTCCAGGTATTCCATGTATGCGCTCTGACAGACGATGGCCTCGTGATGAAATCTTTCCTCTGTCCGGAGTCCACACTCTTCGATCAAACCATACTCAAATGCAACTGGTGGTTCTACGTGGACTGTAAGAACACGGCTGGTCTTTACGACACCAATATCCCTGTCTCCAAGAGTTACCAGCTAATGAAAGCTCTGACTTTCTTCAGCTCGTATAAGAAGGAAATGGAAGATGGTTAGTTCTTTAATGATTTGATATGAATGCGTTTAATATAGTATCTTTATGAATAGAATTTATTTTTTTTCTCCCTAAATTTTTTGGTTGTAAATAAACATTTCTTTAAACTGTTGCATCAAGCGTCTGTTGGTAATAAGTAAGCATGTCTTGATTGCAGCAATTGTTCATTATTGTATTATTCGTTTATTATATTATTGCTGAATGTATTTTTAGCCTAAACTCCGCTTATTTAATTGCTAAGAGTAAATAAACAGGCGTCTTTAGATGGACACCATTGTAAATAACTTTTTCTCTATTCAGGTCGCCCCATGAACCCCGAAGACGTCGGTGGTATTAAAGAAGCTATATCAATACTAGAAAATCAAGACTCGAAACCAGCAGATACAGAACGGGTAGAAATCATTACACCATCACCAACACCACTTATTGACGAAAGAAATAACAAAAAGGAGGATATAACACCAATTTATCGCGGAAATAGAAAATTAAGTAATTCCACGAACACTAGAGAAAAGAATGAAGAGTACAGATTAGTAACTGTTGGCGCGGGATTCAACTATAACAATTCTTCCAAAACTAAAGCAGAAAGAAGAAGAGCTGCATTACGTAACGCAGCTAGAAGTTCTACTACAACAACTACTACTACAGAAAAACCTGAAACTACATCACTTGAAGTAGAAAAAGAAGAATTAAAACCAATGGCAGAGTTAGGTTCTGATAAACAAGAAAATCTATCCGATCAGATAGATCCAGAGCCCATATTGAAAGAGGCGGAAACAGCAGCGCCAGTCAGAAGGTTTTACAGGTCGAGCGCTGAAAGGGAAATAGCAATAATTAATAATGAAAAAGTTCAAATTGTGAGACCTACGCCTTCTGTGGGTGCTCAGATTAGATCTTTATCGAAGTTAGACGAAGCGGTGTTAGGCAAGTCGTTTGCGCGGTTTAAAAGACATGTACTGTTAAGGATACCTCATAGTCGATAGTCCAGATAGTATACAATTTAGTGTCATATAAACTTATTTATTTCCTTGGTAGAGAGCTGCTCGTTTGTTCTGGCTTTAGGCAAGTAATGCTACAAGAATCCTTGCCCACTACATCGTAAAATATGACTATAATAGGTAGAGTAAGACATATATTTTCCCGGTTATGAACTTACTTTTCTTTCATGATATTGAATGATTGTTAAATACGTGCTTGATGAAGTGTACTTTTTTTAATTTAACTTAACTATTTTTTGCATAATTACATAGAATAAGGAGTATTCTATACATACTAGATAATTTTCAGTATGAAATTCTAACCTGTCTTACAAAGTATTAAAAATAATTTTCATTTGGAGTTTCGCAGGGTAGTATCCGGAACCACTTTTTGTATAAGTGCAGTTTTATTCTACAAGAATTGTATCAATTACTTGATTATGTGCTTATTCATCACAACCAAATCAAATTAGTAAAATGTAGTGTTCAAACGACTAGCTCTAAGTCTATTGAGATGCGTATCAAATGTACTGATCTACGTAGTTGCTCAATTTATATTCTAGTTGAGGATTCAGTCAAGTGATATTACGGTGTATGTTTTAGTTGTTAGAATTAAAAACTTGTTTCCAACTTTGTTGTTTCATTGTTCATTCTGCTATTTATATTATTGGGATCATTTTAAGAACATAAATACATAATAAGATCACGAAATATCACAACTACCTGTCCAAATCTCTATATTATCCATATGAGTTTGCATTGAATAGGATTACCTGTGTAATTAAATACTAAACCAATTGTAGAATCCCATTAATTTATTGACACTGCTAATATACTATGGTACAATTGTATAAATTTTCAGGAAAATGCATAAAAACACAGCCATCAACCCATTCTAGAATTATTTCTTAGAGGATTTTAGGAAGCAGCGCAAAAACTTCTCACAGAACATAGGCCCACAGGCAATGAGACCGATTGCAGCTAACGCGGTAGCGCAGCTCATACAAATCATTATATTAATCAAAAAATAACTACCCAACAAATTTGACACAAAATTTAAAAATAACCAGAAAGCACAGATGACGTAAGACAAGAAAGTATAAAAGAAATACGAGCTTTAACAGTAAAGATAAAATCAGTAAGGCATCCCGCAGTCAGGGCAGATAGGGTTGGCAGGGCAGGAACACTTGCGCTCGAACAAGCCTCGGGTGCAGAGCGGTAGGCAAATAACTAGAGTCGCGACGCTCACTAAACTTAGGAGCGACACACAAATCATATGAAGCCAAACCACCCGTTCCCGCGACAGACGGGCCCTGTAATGGGAGAAGAAGACTTCAGATTCATTTTCATTATAAAAGCAGAACTTACTAAAAAGTCGCAGAGATACGAATTTAATTTGTATTATGGAAAGGAGGAAGCAGGCAATTTAGCTATGCAATAGTGTATTATAATCGTATATTTTTTAAGCTTTTTTGGACGTTACTAAATAATATGATTTAATGTTGAGCCAAAGATTTGATGTTTTCTATATGTTATAAGAGCCAATACAATTTCAGTTACTGGAATTATAGGTAAAAATACTAACCTGAAATTACCCGTGCAAACCACACTTAAGATCTAAGTATTGTGATCTTCTTAGAGCCCAAAAGATAATCCTGATAGCAGGATTATTCTAGCACAGTTCCACAGCAATTTTACACTCATGTTGTTTGTAAAAAAATCACAGAAAAATGTTGCTTTTGATCGTATTTGACATTGGTGTTAATAAAGTTTTTCTTTTTTCAAATTTCAACATTCAGCTCGGAGGTGGTATATCTCTATGAATAGACAACCTATTACTTATTATCGATATACACAGAGTTAGTATAGTTCTAGAGGCTAAACAATTGTGGACGATATGTGTATTTATAATAGAAATATTGTAGCTACATAATATAGTATTGGTGGGTTCCATAGTTTCCGCCTCTATCTTAAATTTAGTGTAAGCAAAATTTGCTTTCATAGCAGTGTATTGTCTAACACTCACGCGATAAACTCTTCTGCAAATCACCCGAGCAAAATTAGGTTGTTTAAAAGCACTATATAATTTAAAAATCGAAAATAAATTGAAAAAGATTTTCGACTAGGCCAAGACTTGAACCGGCATCGTCAGCGTTCCGTGCTGTTGCTCTGATGATTTTTAAAATAATTTGGATGTTGTATATCGTTTCTTTTTTCTAATATTATGGCTTAAAAGTATATGGCGTAGAAGTATAGATACTTAACCTTCTTTTCCGAAAATAATGTCGCAATTAGATTAAATATAAAGACAAATAATATTACTGATTTATTCGCTGCAACTTATCCACACACAAAATAATAATTACTAATTTGATGTTTTCGATTTCTTGGTACAGCACGGACTACATTGAGCTGCCGGTGGAGTTTGAGCTTTCTTACATTGCAAAGTTTTTAAATAGTGGTCTAATAGTGTTGGGCCACAGGCTAAAATACTAGCTGCTACTACAGCAGTGATGAAAGTTATGCAAACTGGCATAGTCGATTTGAATTCACTTCTTTCCCTGGCCGTGTCTGAGGCACTTGTAAAATTTCTGCACCTCCAATTGCTTGTAGCAGACCGGGAAACAAGCTAAGATCGCGGCTGATGCAACCAGAGCGTACATTGACAGACAAATCATGTTTTCATCTGGCTGTGCTCGAGCCAGATATCCGAACAAAGGGAGTACAGTGACAACTGTGTCCTAAAATAAAAGACACCTTTCAAACGAAATTATCATCAAAATTCTAATCACTATTGTATTTTGATAATAGATAGTCTAAGATAAATTATCGGATAATCTTAGCAGCATTAATCGTTAGTAAATGTATTCTGTACGAGGATATGCTGTATTACCAGTGGTTAATTATGATCCTTACTCAAAGTAAAGAATTTCGTTTGTAATACTTTACTTACCCTTTTTTGTAAATATAACAGATCAGATATTTACATTTAGACTAAACTAGCATTACTCCTCTTGATGTTAGTCATTTGTACATAATTTATTAAATATTTTCTTCCAACTTCAAATTTTAATACATACCTACACTAATAATGAAATTTTGGCCAAGTTGTCATTAATAGACGTTTAGTTTCTCTACGGCTTAAGCAATAAGGATATTATGGGAGTCATAGCAAACAATATATTTCTTGTAAACGGCACAGTATTTAAATTACAGACACGATGTACAGTTTTGTATGATCATATCAGAAAATGATATAAAGCATGACTGCTTATTATTTTTTTTGCAACTTTTATTTTTGAAATTATTCTTTTGCAACTTATAATTCCAACTTTTTAAAACAGAAACATTTTAAGAAGAAAGTTATCTGCCACATCGAAATTGTCACATTTGATAGTATCTTGTTTTTGTTATCTACAAGAAAATATATCTTATCCACCAATTTTTTAAATATATGTAGCCATTCAATGTGATATTTGTTTCACGGTTGCCAATACAGAAATGTAAGATCAAAGGTTACAAATGAAATTAAGTTCGCTAATACTTTTGACATTGGCCGTGTCTACGTGCGCTCTGCCTCCACAAAAGAAGAAAGCAGAGATCGACAATCGGATATCACAATTGCAGGAAAGGGAGAACAGACAAACCCAGAGAGATTGTAAATCAAAGTGTGCGTCGAGTATAGCTCAAAAAGCGGCCGCTGAAGCTAAAGCTGCACAAGCGGCACAAAACGCAGCCGGGGCTCAAGCAGCCCACATGGTAAATATAAGCAATGACATTATTGAACTCTCTATAAACAGTTTTTAATACTTCGTGCCTTAGGTCAAAACTCAATTGGCTGAAAAAGCTTTACAAGCTGCTAAGGCTGCCGAGGCGGCACTCGCTGGAAAACAAGCTGTCGTAGAACAACTACAGCAAGAAGTTAAGGAAGCTGAAGCTGTTGTTGCTGAGAACACCGCTTCAGTTCATCAACAACAAGCCGCTGTAAATTCAGGAATAGCCGCGGCGCAACAGTCTACTGCACAGGTAAAAAAAATATCACTTCAAGCCTTTATTTCTCATAAGTTGACTTGATCTTCAACAATTCCTATCCAATCGGTTGCAGGAGTAAGTTTTTACGAAGTCGAAGCAATAGCGAAGGGTGTGTAGCATAAAATAATTTATCATTTATCTTTCATTGGTATAGCGATTGTTGAAGAACCCTGATGCAATGTTCACTTCGTAAAACTTTGCTCTTTTTTTCCAAGGACCCGATTGGACAAGAAGCGTTGAGGACAAGTTATTGACGACCATGATTTGCATGTCGTTATATACATTTATAGCTGCGGCTTCTGTTTTGTCATGTGCACCTGTTATTTTGAGTAAAGTTTGTCCCAAGAAGTACTTTTTATGTTTCTGTAGTGGAAAGAAAAAGTAACATACAGCAATGGTGGATAAGTTTAAATTCTTGTTATAGTATACTGTAAATAAAACCCTCAATTGAAACAGATTTTTATTTAAGCATGATGACTGCTAATTATTTGTAACAGCACAAGTTATTAATGCAAGCGACGCAGCTTGCAGCTGAATTAGAAAAGGCTGCGCATGGTCTGCTCGAGAAACTTAAGTGTAGCCTGCAGGAAAAATGCCATAATCTCGCTGAATCCCGAGCGAGACTAGCGCATCTGCAGCACAAGTTACAGTGCGCTTGCGCAGAATGTGCGGCCACGAAACAAGCCGCTCACTGCGCTTGTGAAGCGGCGAGAGCCGCTTGTGGAAATGCGAGGAAAAAGAGAAATATTATTAAGAGAAATGCCCTTGTATCTAAAAAATCCAGGCGTGAACGATGACAAATCAAGAAGCACTCTGTATGAATATGTTAAGGATGTCACCGATTTGATGGAAAATAATTAATTATGCGGTTGCACCGCTTCTGATGTAAGTGATGGAGCCGAACATAAAACTGGTAGATTGAAAAACAATAGTGAAATACAAGATGCTACAAAGATGCTCTTTGATATCATGCAAGGCAACGATAAGGTATACGAGTAATTTTAGAATAATTGAGTATACTTCAGTTTTGTAGATTCATGTCTTAAGATTTTTGATAGAATTAGTTTCGTTTAAGCTTCTGATAAATATAGCATTAGATAGCAAGCTTGCATTTTTATTTTGTAGAATTATATTAATGAAATAAAATTAAAATAGTTCTTAATTTATTTCCTTAATACTATTAAAGCATTACAAAATCATTACATGCCTAAACGTAACACGATTAGCAGAATAACACGATTTTAATATTAAAGACGAATAAATAAAGCATTAATGATTTACAATAACTTATAAAATGTAAGCGTTGATCGGGAGATTATGTACTTATAATAATTAAAATTCGTCTCAAAAGTTTCAAGTCGACATGCTTTATACATAATTTAAGAATAAGTAATTAGGTAGTCTAAAAGAGGCGGTGTTACTTCTTATCAACTATACTAAATGCATCATTCAAGTTCTGTGGGCTAAATGCTAAATTACTATTTTTATAATTAACATAAGGCGATATCGTCGCGGAAACCGCTACTTCCGGATCTACGTAGCTAGCTGATGGAATTTCATCGTCTTCTGAATAATCATTTGAATAGCTTTTATGGACAACTCTCGCTGGTGGCTCTGCGTATTTGCCTCCAACAACAACTTCAGTATCAGAATCAGTCTTCTTGTGTGTTTTTTGGGGCTTTGTTATAATAATGTTATCGATATAGTAAGGCCGTCGTTTCCTTTCATATAAATTAGGTTCTTCGTCTGTAGGAAGTTCTCTATACTTGTATTGTTCTAAGTAGGTGTTGATTTCATCATCCGGCGACGACGGTTCGAAATCACGTTCTTTAAAAGATGGCTCTGGATTCGTAAACTCATAAGTAGTGTCAAAATTGAAACCACTTTGATGGGGATTCCAGTTTTTGAATTCATGATGGAAACTGGGCTCACTGTCGAAGCTGGTCGGATTGGAATCTTGGGATAGTTGATAAAAATCAAATGGACGCGACGGCGTATGAAAGTCTAAAGGTGGTTCCGCAAACGACTGCTTTGGACTGCTGTAGTCTGAATAATAATCTTGAGGAGGTTCACCAAAACCTGCTGGTTCCGACAAAATGTATGTATGCGTATCTGGGTACGGTTTTTTCGGTGGGCTATACACTGGATTACTGTTTTTCGGAGGGCCATACCTCGGTTTTACAGGGCGCTTCTTTCGACTTGGAGGCCCATATTTTGGGACAGTTTTCTTGTATTTCTTTATTGGTCTCCTTGGCGGTTTCGCTGATCGATATTTCGTCCTGGGTGGTCCGTATTTAGGTTTAGGGCTGGGCCTATGATATGATATTCTACGATATGTCACCCTAGGCTTAGTTTTGTAAATGGGCTCTGATGGAAAATTATCGTAAAGGACTATAGTTTCACGTTTTTTTAAACTGTGTTTTGTAGAGTCTAGAAGTTCATTATTTTCATTTTCACTATGCACCAACGCAGGGGTCAATGTTATCTGAAAAAAGAAACAGTATTGTACAAATTCTTATAGTACAAGTAATAAAGAAAACATCGAGTGTGTTAAGTTTCACTCCTTTTAACATATTATGTCAATTCGTTCCGTTTAATTAAGTTGAAATAATTACTCTTCGCAATTGGAATCTTATTGGCTTTACTCTCTACAATTAACTCCGTTATTTTTAGATTATAAGTGAACCGGCGATATTTCCAAAGCTAGTAACACGTAAAATGTTCCGATATTCAATATATATCAATTAAGATTAGAAAGTTATTATTAATTATCTTAACATGTTTTTTTAATCGAAATAAATTTCTTTCGTAAAATATTGATTTATAATGAATTCAAAACAGGTAACCTGTTTGGACTTTCTCTAACCTTATGGCAATATTGACCATCGCATATTTATACAAATTAGTGATTAGTTAAATCTACAAGAGCACAGTGATCGAAAATTGTTAGCATACTTTTTACACATGTACAAATATAAATTTATTTTATTATCTTTCTCATTGAAAATAATGTTTTTTTGTTATTAGGCCTCTCTCTCTCTAGCAGCCTTAGTTAATAATAAAGATTAAATGCCTGGTAGGGTAGTTATTACTTGTATAAGTTGGGGCTCGACTGATGTTCATGAGTTTGATGCCTCAACGTGCCTCGTAATTGATCATACTATCGTACAGTGAATACCATCCTCGCCTGCTATCATCAATTTAAACCTGCGTAGTAGATTACGGTCTATAGTTCTATGCCGTTCTGTGCCCCCATAGAAGAGCCAAGTCCCAGCAATTAAAACCGTTATTGAGCTATGTGTGTAAACGAGAAATATATTCGATTTTGTCACATACTATCTTGACTAATGTTTCCGTTTCCTAACTATTTGCATCTTAGTGAAAACCGTGTTGCGATATCAAGTGATAGTTCATCATACCGGAAACTGGAAATTACTCAAAGTTCCACAGCTGATGGGTTGCACTTAACCACAAAACAACGGTACCCTATTTATATAAGTTCTATAATATAAACAATCATGGACCTCCTCATAGACTTATAAACACCTTCTACAAAGGAGTTTAAGACCTAGATTAAAAGTTTATTATAAACATGGAAACCAACAAATTATACAAGTCTTTTTGAATATTAAAATCACACAAAATTTTGTATAATTAATAAAAATCTAACTTAATTACTTTTACTTAGCAAATATATCATTGAATTATAAAGAATCTAATCTTTGCTTAAGTGTGGGTAATGGGCACAAAACGAACTCTCTTTCAAAGAGAAAACAGCTGAAACCCAATCTTGATACTTATATGACTGAACTAAATCCCTTGACCGATTTATCACGCGTAAGTTTCAAGTAGCAACCTACATTTTATGTTCTTTATCTATATTTATTATGTTTAAATAAATGTAAAATTTTCTTTGCAAAAAAAACATATTGTAGTTTATTTTATCACATTTGATAGTAAACATGAAACGTCATGCGCCTTCGATTTTCTTGCCTTTTGTAAAGGTCGAATTCGGAAGTGCTTCGATGTTCCACCAAGTTTTGTATCGACTTTTCTCACTCATTTGACGTAAGTCGGGACCTAATCGACTTCAATAAAATCTCTTTTTTAGATCTTCCTTTATGTACTTTAAATGTGTCATTGTTAAAACTATCCGCTTGAAATTAACTTATTTTTGGAAAGATATGTAAACGAAAACGCGTTAACGATTTTCGTATGGCTTATCATTGTTTTTCGAGCTGTTCGAAGAATCAGAACAGCTGAGAAAAGGTTCTCGACGTTTCGCCATCACGAGCGGACGGCATCATCAGAGGAAGAGTGAAAGCCCGTTTCCCCCTCGTGGGGCATGGGGCAAACACATTTCTGTGTCCGTTTCACTGATCCGTTCTTTTAACGGGCAAGTAGTTGATCAGACTTCTGTGCCCTGCCTGACCGAAACAATTTTATGTTTCCCTGCGATTCGAACCCAGGACCTTTCGCGCTTAACGCAATGTGTAACCATTTGGCTACAGAGGCGGTCATCATAAGAGGATGTTAGCTCCAATTTCATCTCTTCGCTGCTGAACGATGGCCGTGACAGCCTGACACGAAATTTGTATGGTCTAGTTATAATATCTCGTTAATATTAGAAATTCTCGTTTTTATTGCTGTTTTAAAACATATTCTCTTTAAAAACTTTCATCGTACGTGAGTACATTTTTAACTGCTTAGAAGGATCATAACAATAAAATTATTGTTTGGGAAAGTTGAACAACTTCTTGTTGTTTTGTCTGTATTACATCTACACGATAGAACTATGCTACTGCCAGCTAGCTGCTTAGCTTATAAATACAATTAATTATAAATAAGTTTTACGTTTACATTGAAAAGACTCAAGCGGTTTTTGTACATAGCTACTTAAATTTTTGAGGTTAAATAAATGTCATAAATATGTTATGACATTAAATTTACGTATTAATAATAATACACTACAGCTCATCTTTCCAAGCTTTACACTACAGTGTATAGAAAGATGACCTCTTTTGTCTATTGATATTCGGAAATCCACAGACTGTAACTGTAACGACTTCCTTATTCATGGACGTTCCGATGGATTCGATATTCCAGACTATTATTAAAATCCAGATTTTTCAGACAATGTCAAGCACGTTTCAAATATGTGAGAAGTCACCAATAGACGCGAGCCCGTTGTGAGTACGATACTGTATAATATTTCGTTTATTACTAAATTGTATTTTATTTCTTTAATGATCGTCTAACAGAGATCTCGACGTCTTATTTGTTTTTCGTCAGATACGTGTCGCACGCAACATTCCATTTCATCTGACAGTTGTTATTATCGCATACTATAGAAAGTAAAGATTTGATTTATCCTTTTTTCGCACATCTAGAACAAACGGCGGAGATGTAAACGAATGTCTCGCATTGTTAACAAAATTGTCTATAGTCACGACAATCGGTATAAAAGATATCGATTTTGGAATCTTGGAATCGATTTGGTCTATGAAATGGCTGGAACTAGGCTTAAAAAATTAAGAACGAAGCTATGAATTTATCGCTTATTAGACTAGTTAGCGAATAACATAGTTCTTGGTGAAATGTCTTTTGGAGTTGAAAAATTAAACTATATCATTATAAAATCTATAATTTTAAGGTGTCTTTACTATATACCTACTTAGCAGAATTGTATAAAAGAATAATACATACTAGGGCTTGATATATACGAAAAAGTGATCTATCTATCTATCTACGATATACCATATGATCTACCTACCTTTATAACCTTTATTTAAATATAGACAAAACGAATAATGTCGTCGTCGTTTATAAGTTATAACGATAAGCTTATGCAACTTTTTGCTTGAAATGAAATGATTGAATTGATGAATTATATTTACAATTTTTATTTTCTACTAGTCTACTTTATATTGTATTTTTATAAAAAGCCTAGATCCGTGTGCCGAAACGCAAAGGCTTCCTCTAACTTTTTGCTTACTAAATTCATTTTAATAGTATTAATTCCTTATAGTCTTAACAATAATCATATAGTTCATAGTTGAATTATTTTTTCCTCAAAATTACAAAAATACGATCGAAAAACAAAAACTTTATCATAGTCTTTGCTGCAGTAATAAAAAATTTTCCTTTAATGCAGTGGAAATTTATTAATCAACTAGTTCTCTTATAATTATTTATTTTAATATTTACCAGTAGTGTGGCGTAGCAAAACAAATCAGCCAGCTGCATTTCCACAAATTTACTCAACACTCTTAATTATAAGAAATATCCTCACAAACGTCTGCAAAGTATGAAAGTTGTAGAGATAATGTGTTTGGCCCGGAATAACTCTTGTGTACTAGCCTATGAAAAATATGGATTTATACAGAGCTGCCAATAAAAGATGGAATGAATTAATTCATATTGAAAATATTATTTATTTAGAAATGACATTTTCCGAGCTATAACTATTTATAGATATTTCATATTTATTTATTATCTCTTCCTTACGTTTTTTTATCAATTGAACAGTAAGGAAGTTTATAAGAAAACACGTTTTGTTTGTTACTTAGTAGGACCTCACTAGTAAAATATTTCTAACTAATAACTAATGTACAATAATATTCATTTTTACACAAACAATTATGTATTAAAATTGAGTATATTTGTAATCTGAGTTGGTAATAATCTGTGCATCATACTGCAAACACCACAGTGTAAACTCTAAATAATATCAATGAACAGGTTATATTTTGATGCTGTAGAGAAATGTCATTGGAAGCAGAAAAGAAATCTAAAAAATGTTTATTTAAAAATAGTGTCACTAAATAAGTAATAAATCAATCTTATTTGTATATCATTACTTTCGTCGGACGTCAGTAATTTTGTTATTTTTTTTATTGTAGGTAGTACTTGATACGTCGCTGGTGATATACACATATGTCGTTATTAAGACTGACTGTAATGCTATATAGAGTGTATCTTGCCTCGCTTATTTAAATAATTAACATCTCTATATGAGATCTTGATTAAGTTACTAGCTCTCACATCAGATAATTTATTCATTATGTACAAAAGGCTCATGCATTGAATTTAGGCCTATTACAGTGACACCGGTACAATGAAAGGAGTTTACTTACATTTGTTACATAATATGTTATTCTTTTATAAAATGTGACGTTGATATAGAAAAACTATCCGCGAGTGGGTTTTATAGAAAGTTCATTCAGCGAAATTCGAAAATTAGTAATACTAGATGTTCCAGCGACTTCGTCCGCGAGAATCGTTATTTTGGGCATTCAAATTAGTTTTTGCAAATCCCGTCATCTTTATAAACTTAAGCTGTTAGCCACGACGTCGATCGCGTCCCTTTCCGTCGTTCTTGCAAGTTAATTTTAAAAGATAGACATATAGCGTCGCGGACTTTTTTAGGTCATTTTAAGAGGAATCGTTATTTCATCAATCATAATTTTTCAAATCGAACTCGTACTTCCTGAGATTAGGGCGTTCAAACAAACAAACAAACTCTTCAGATTTATATATTAGTATAGATAAACCCGACACGCCTAGCCGTAGTTTAAATTTATTAAGTAACATCTCGTATTCTTTACTATAACTATTAACTACTAAGGTAGGTGCGGCCAATAAGGCCTGTCGGGTAATAAGGCCTAAGTACTAGAAACATAACTTTGAGTAGACCCCGCCAGCTGACTTCACAGTCATAGGTAGCTTACAACCTAAGATGGTGCCCCAAACATGTCGTGGCTCGCAGGCCCGCATGGTTCCGAGAGTGTGGGGTCACTAATCGTGGCCGGCGGACGTAAATCTCGAATAATAATATGACGGTCGAACAAATCGTAAATATTTTATGAAAAAAAATAAATTTTCTACGTTATTTTGCAGTTTTACATCATTTTAGTTAATGTTTTGAAGACCTGTGCTGTACAAAAAATTGTAAATTACACGAAATCATTTTATTTTTAAAATTTCTTGACAACGTGGTCGGTGGTTAATAAGGCCTATGAAAATCGACCCTAGGCCTTATTACCCTCCTTAAAGTATTATCAAGTGATTACATAATTTAGGTCTTTAGAACTAAGGTAGGTGCGGCGAATAAGGCCTAGCTAAGCAGGAATTGAAATAAATCAAAAACTGTTAAAACAAATCAACAAATTTTAATGTAATTTAAACTTTTATATTAATAACTATCAAATAAAAACGGAAAACAGCAACCTATGCTATAATTATAGTTTTAATTACTGCTTTTTAAAAACACTGTACTTAGGCCTTATTAAACTATGGTAGTATAATAAGGCCTAAGACTTTAAACTTCAAAAATAAACGAAATAAACTTCTCATATTTAGTATTTGAGATCAATAAAATATTGTAATGCGATAATCACACAGTAAAGGTTTAAAAATGACATTATTTTTAAAATTAGGAACAATCTGGACACTCAGCATCATCGACGACTCAAAATCATCCTCTGACAAACCCACGCACTCCTCGTGGTACCACTTGCTGCATTTGTGACACATCCTCATAGCAGTCTCTTGGTCATGGTGGCATGCGTGACAATGTTGTTCTTATTAGACAGCTCTTTGCTAGCTGGTATTCCTCTGTAATTGATGGCCTTTATTTTGACTGTTGGTGTCTTTTCTGTATTTTTAGCTGGTGTAGGCAGGAGTTGCTTAAATGATGTTCTTTTTACTTGAGCGAAGAGTACATTATCCTCATCATCAGAGCTGGATCTACCTTAAACCATTCTGTAAAACATGTTGGAGGATCTTTTTGGTATGATCATTTGTTTGTTCTTGCCTCGGTGTCGATGACTGAGGCGTCTCGGGAGCCATTTGCCTTAATGGAGTGCGAGGTGGTAAATTTTCTACATCGACAACGTCTGGAAAAGGAGCTGGTGCTTCTAATTTCTGTAATAGTACTTATAAGTTTTAATTTACTGTAGGTACCTACTAGCGCAAACAACAGATCAATCAATATTCAAAACTGTTCGTATTAGTAATCAAACTCAGATAACTGCTTTAACATTTTTCTCGTCGTAATAGTCAATAAAGTATTTTGCTGGAAGAAATTATTCAGCGGTATTCGTTTTTAAAGGAAAGTGCGATGATCAAATAAGTTTCACGCTCTGCGATGTTGAATAAATAGTGGTATATAAATATGTGTAAGTAGTAAAAATTGTCTTCTTCAAACAACGCCCAGAAAAGCAGGGATTCTAGTGAAACAAAATAGTTTCCGTGGGACATAGGGAAGTCTGATCCCTTGCTGTTAATACAAACGATCAGTAAAGCGGACACAGAAATGTGGACCACATAGAGTATAGGAGATTTCATTATTCTCATCAAATTTGCTTTGTATTAGATTGAGTCCTTTTATATATTTATATGTTTATGATAAAGATAAACAATTAAAAATACATAAGTAATGTGCATTCCATATATAATTTTTTTTTCAATCCCTCAATATTCTGTCTTATTAAAAGAAAGTATTTTAGCTTCACATTTTTCTTCTTATATCGATTCTACATTGTTTTTAATTTATTTGTATAACGCACTATAACACTATTTTTGTTTTTATGTAAATAACACAACTGGCGGGAGAATTTTATTGATAGATAAAAAACTTGCATAGATAAATAATATTTTTTAAATATAAATGATGCCGTTTCAATAGTTGTCTAAAGCGACACCTGGCAATAGTTAGTATAATATAGTTCGTGGGTTAAAAATTTACTACTATCTTAATCTGTGCTGTGTACGTTTTCAGTGGTTATGTCTAGATGGCGCTGTAATAAATTTGTTTATTATTTGTTCTAAGATGATTTAAACTGAAAAGGCGTAAATATGTGCAAAAAAGAAATGAAATCTTTATCAGTGGCATGAAAAATTTATTTATTTTCTTTATATTACATAATTACGCTAAACTAAAATAAATACGGAATTCTCATTGTTTAATTGGGTTATTATAAATATTAATAATACATAAGTAATTAAAGGACTTAGCCTATAATATGTACACGTTTCAAGTATAATTTTATTTTTGCCTATTCTTGGCTTCGAACGCAACACAAACAAATGTGTTTTTCAATTACATGTTACTAAAAAAAAGAGTTTTATCATTTAAAATGTATTCCTGTGTATAAAATGTTCCTGTCAAATGTGTGCCTATTTCTTTCCATTACATTTAACACAAAAAAAAAAAATACAATTACATGATATAGTTATAAGCGGCATTTTATACAATATCGTTTTTTGCAAGTCTGTTTTCACAACGGTTCGCTTAAATTGACTTGAGTGTGCTGCGTCTAAAATAGGCTTAAAACTAATTTAATATAATTTAAGTTTGCTTCAATAAATAACAAATTGAGTGGAACTCGAAATGGAAGATAAATTCGTAAAATGACTCGAACGACACAGAACTATTGCTCAATCAAATTCATAAGCGTTTTGGCGTTTGCTTTCGTTCGTATTATAAATTTAATTTTTCTTATTAACTTGTTATTTTGCATTTCTGACGTTTAACAAAGATCTATGTTCTTCAATAAATCGGTCTTAAAGTAACATTGCTAGATTTTTTAAATATTTCTGTCACTTTTAACTGTTCCTGTACAATGTTCTTGTTAGCAATTTTACAAATCATTCAAGTAAACGTCAAAACGCTACATTAGATTGAACTAATGTCAAATAACCCGTATGACATCACATAGAATATACAATGAGAAGACAAGGTTTCTGAACTATATCACGAATTATTCAAATAGATATCAATTATAACCTAATAAAAATACTGTTTAGAGCGGTATGTACAACGATTTTTCATCAAAAATTATGTTTGTGTTGAAATTTATACGTACATTGAAAAACAATAGAGCAATAAAGTTACATAAATATTTTTGTCGAAAGGAATGCGCAATGTAAAACTATTGATATGAAATTAAAGGCTAACTTTAACCATTTTAAACCAGCAAGAACGACATATTTGCGTTCCATTGCGCGCCAATTATTTTACATGCCTCTTCTGATTTTGAATACATGTCATAGTACAAAGGAAGTGGGACTAAACTTATAACTACACGTCGGAAGATTGACTTGCGCCATGCCAACGCGTCACTGTAGCAATGAAAGATATATTTAATATTATAAGAAGACATTAAAGGCACAAGTGTATTTACAAGAGCCGTGTTGGAATGCGTTGGCAAGGCAGTGCTTCGGTGTTCCCATAAATGTTTTCTTTAGTTAAATCCCAAAAATGGTAAATATCTTAATTCGTGTGTTAAGAATCGTATGTTAGTTTTCAAATAATGTGCATAGATAAACAAATTTCATTCGTTGATTTAATGCAAATTTTAAATCATTTTAGGTTTTGTTTAAATTAGAAATTATTTAAAATGAGTTAAAATTTTATGGGGACCGTATTTACAAAGAAGAGATGCACTAAGATTTACACACGTTTTGTTCAAGCACTTAAACTATACTTTATATTTGAGCTATTACTCTTAATATTAACACACATCACTAGAGTACTAAAAGCTAAAGCATACAAAAATATATAAAAAAATATTTACAAATTAAAAACTAAAACGTGTCTTATTGCGTGGCGAGACCAACACACTCATTTTAATAATTGTTTATTAATCAATTTTACTTTTAATAAATATATTTTATATACAGAAATGGAAGGACCCTGTTTCTTTAGTAATTTTTAATGAAATCAGTATTTCATAGAGACGGAAGATATCCTCTAATTTAACACGGATTTTATTAAAAAGTTATAGGTCTAACATTTGATGAAATACCCTAACAGGCACATCACTATATGGTAACAAACCCCAATTCTTTATACAGTATCCCTATTGAGCTTATTAACAAATCCCCTCTTATTTGGTAAATTGAGTGCAATAAAATATCGTCAATTATAATCGTTAGAAGATCCAATTTAAACCTGAATTTGAGAATCTCATTTCTTGTACTCTTCATTGTATTACAAATATTGGGTTAGTTAATTTTGCTAACAAACTCGTACTAGGGCTACATAAATGTGGAAGAACTCAAACGCGACACGATCTTTGGTGATTCCAAAAGCGAGACACGTATTGCACAAAGCTCACTGCGTCGCCTCAGCGGTGTGGTAATGCGAGGGGTAACGCCAAACCTGGGGCGGGGAGTACTCCACGGGGACCTCCTGCGCCGCGCCCCCCGCACCCCACATGAGCACCGTCTGCCTCGGCATCTCCGATGCACTCTGCTGCATCCTATCCTGTTCTGTTGAGCCACTGGAACCGCCAGGACTCGGCCCGGGGACGACGCTGGGCGACCTTCTTTCACCGGTCACGGGGCTCATGTATCTTCCGGTGCTATCTACATACGTGTATTCCCTCGATGGGGGTCTGTAGGTGGTAACATCGTACCCTGGTGGAGGGGGTTCTAGGAACCCATTCGGGGTGTATGGAGTATAGTGGTAAGATAGGGGTTTGTATTGATGGAAGAGGTTATCGGGTGTAAGGAATCTATCGTCTAGTGGAGGGGCGTAGTGTAATGTGGGAGCTGGGGGATACTCTCCATAGGGGGCTGTGTAGGCTCCGTTGAGGTTCGTGTATGCTGCTACAGCATCCGCTGCTAAATAATCTACTGGAGGTGGCGCTGGTGTAGACGGAACTCTTCTCTTATTCCTGCACGTGGATAGGAAGTCTCGAAGTTGCGTTTTATACCGTCGTGCCGCTCGGGGAGGTGTGCTAACTGTGGACTCGTTGGACAGCTGTTCAGTTTCAGAGAAGTAGAGGCTAGTTAGCCCAGTGTCCAGATAGCTCACTTTGAAGTCCATTGTACGTTTTCCAAGAAGATCTCTTCCCTCTTCCTCCCTAAAAATATAATATTATTGTTCAGTTCCTTTGATATTTAGTCAACAAATAAGTGTTTACAATAGTATTATGCGCTTACTCTGTTTAATCTTCGAAGGTAATACGCTTGTTAAGATATATGTATATATACGTATACACTAAAATATATAAATGTCATAAAAATATCATAAAGCAATAATTACTTACATTAACGGTCTATGCGTGCTGATGACAAAATCTGGCTTCGAGTTCTTGTAGACGAGACGAGAGGAAGTCTGAAGCCACTGCCATTGACCGTCCTTCGTTTGAAACCGGTACGCGATCATCCCTGATGCTCCGGTTTTTAACACTGAAAGATTAACATATTTAACTTTTAGTAAAGTATTAAACGAATAAAATCCTTTTTTGAAGGTGTAAAACGCAATCGAAATTGCTTTTAATTGTAGCCTTATGTTTCGTACCCTTCAAAAATTTGTTCACCTTCTGCCGTTTACAAAAGTGATTTTTGTAAAGATGACAAATTCATGTATCTACTTTACTTTAAAGAATCATCAACATGCACATCTTATATCGTATCCTTTTTAGTGACTAAATTATTTCGCAAAGACGTGAAAAATTTTAATCCTTTCAAAGTATTTAACACCAAGTTCAAGTATTTATTACATAAGATATCGTGAAGGTTTACTCACATTCTTGATGTGCACTTGCAACGTAGGCTAGATCATCATAATGGACTAAGTCATATCCTCCCATATTTGCCAGTTCTGCATCTGTGTAGCCAAGTAACATTTTCCCCCTGAAAAAAATCCAATTTGAATTGATTAAGTTATTAGAGTTTATTAAATGCGTTTTGATTTATCTATTATAGATACCTATAATAGTTAAAATAAAATATTAGATTGATTTTAAATTTTCGTTCTGATGGTTTTTGGGGCTCGTTTAGTGTTTGGTTTTCTTTTATCCCCTTAATATGTTCACTAGTTTATTTTCAAATATAGAAATGTCACTTAATACAATATATAAACAATTTTTTGTCAACCCAACATAGTTGAAGTAATAAACTGATTTGAATTGCCAGCGTAGTCTGAGAAAATATTGAATATATCTTGTATTCCATCTTATTTCTCATACAGCCGGTGTATTTTTTATCGTAATTCCTGTATCTAATAATGCTATTGGTCACGCCGTACGTGTTTACCAATTATACATTTTGTATGGGATACGGTGTGATTTTACATTCCTAGAGCTTATAGCGTATGCTCTTTTGTGGTCGGTGGCTTTGTGGTTTGAGGTTTTGGGACTTAAGCTTGGATTTCAGTGCAAATTAACGATTCAGTATCATTTGAACAATTGAACTGACTCAAGTACCTTTTCAAATCTTCAAACGTCTAACTAGGTCCGTTAATATTTTATTGATCTATTTCTTTAACTTACGGCTATGTTTTAAATTACCTTTGATCCATAGAGACTAAAGAGAGATCAAGCTTGTGTTTGCTCTTGAACATAACTTCTTTTTGAGGAATTTCGAGTAAGCTTGGAGGTCCAAAAGGTGCGCAAATTGCAAACAGGGCTAATGGTGGATCTTCAGTTTTCTTATTCTGACCGTGGAGTACTTTTATTCTACCTCTTATATCTAGCCTCTGAAAAATTTGCGAAATTAGTAAAATAATAACTATATATATTTTAACAATATTAAATCTTGTATTCAAAAGACTTTCTTACCAGGAAGCCACTAGTATTATCGAGTAAACATCTAAACCGCACTGTAAAGCTTCGTTCGAGAAGATGAGCCCTCTCCGGCCTCAGCACATCCTGAAGAGTCAAGTTGCTGACTTCCGGTTGTAGGAATGAGTTCCACAGCAATTGTCTTTGCAGCTCTTCGCGGTCTTCTGAGTGGACCAGCTCGTACACCGATTGGTGGACAATGTCTGACTGAAAATTATGCATTTATAAATACTTACTTAACTTATTACTTAATTCTACTGTCATTTGCTTAAATTTTGTTTGGTGACAAACAAAACTTTACTTCTAAATAAAAAAAAATTGTAGTTAATCTATTTTACTATTTCACTACAACTAAGAATAAAAACGTTGTATATGTGTTTAACCGATAAAAATATAAATCAATAAATTAAGGTGTTGAATGAAATCAATGAAACCAAAGCAACAAGATAATTAATTGATAAGCCGACTAAACAGTTCATCAGTTTAAAAAGAGCAAGTCATAACTGAACCGTAAATCAATAAAGCATCGATGACCCTAAAATCGATTAGTAACCGATCATTAAAGAATCATCTGTAACGAAGATGGACATGTTAATTTTTATGGGAAGATTATCGATTACCGACCTTCAACCCTCGGTTTAAGCTATAATTTTGTCTATACATATCGAAATATGTATTTTAACACGTCGTATAACAATGAATCGTATAAACAGTGTGGATAATTCGCCGACAACAAATGATCCGAGTACAAAACTAATTGATAATCAGTGGGGGCTGAGCAAGGCACAAGTTCGGGACCCCTAGTTTTTAACTGACATGTAAATGAATCATACACGTAGGAAATATAACCTAAGGCTTACGTATATAGTAAGGGTCCGGTAATGTTTGGATGTGGGTTCGAACATATTGCGATGGCATTAAATGTCAGAGGATGATTTGTTTCGTAATTGCTTTTTGTTCTAATTTTAGGGGCAATCGTTGCTATGGTTCAGAAATATAATCATGTAAATATTTATTTCAATAGAAAAATTATGACTATAATAATAATGCTTTTGAAATGAGTTTCTTAAGCAAAATAAAAGTTAAGTTTTGTAAAAGGAATTAACCTTTTTGAACGATTTAGTTAGAAATATTTCTCTCTTTGTCTTTGTTTTTTATTTAAATGTGGAATTCACCGCTGTATTTCAATATCGTATAGTTTAAAAATAACTTGTAATCTATCAGTAAATATTTCCAAAAGTATCTTGGAACTTTATGTTTCAATTTTGTTATTTTTCATCATTATCATCATTTATCAAGTGATGAATACATTTCAGCTACTCTGCTGTACAATTTTAGAAGTCTTCAAAAATAACGTAGAAATAAAAGAATAGTTATGGTCAGTTAATCGCCACCGGTGAACTATGCCATTAGGGTGTAGCGAGCGGATCGATGGTGCCACCTGGTGAGACAGCTTGGTAATCTACCGACCCTTGCACCAAACGGAGGGGTGCGAATTATACTCATTTTTAAATAAGTTTATTATTTTAGGGATCTGTTTTAAGGTTAAGAACCCTACTATAACAAAAACAATTATTTAAAAAATCTTTCTCTTTGATCAGTTTGATTTAAAAAGACATTATTGAAGACTAGGTGTGCCCGCGACTTCGTCCGCTTCCCGTCGTTTTTTGCCAGTTAAGCTTCGCAGTTGAGCATTCAATGTTTTTGATCGTTTAAAGAGGAATCATTCTATCATAGATATTCTTGGGTTTTTTAGAAGCGTCTTCGCAGAGCACGCAACGAGAACCCTTATAGATAACATATTTTTCCACATTTCCCACCGCCAATTCGAACCAGTAGTTCCTGCAATTAGCGCGCTCAAACAAGCAAACCCACAAACTCTTCAGCTTTATTATATTAGTATAGATATTAACTTTAAATATTTTAAATTCCTTCCATCATTCCCTCTTGATATATCATAGTATTCCTTTTTTCGTAAGTAAAATCGGATTAACAAATAACTAAACATCGCTTAAGAAAGTACTTATGTAACAAAATATAGGCACTAAGGCGAATTTAATTGCTCGAAGCCAATCTAGCATTTGTCTCTCATTACTCAATGTCTCGAATGAAATCGATTCTGAATCGATACGGACATTCGAGTTTAATCAAAGTCCATATCGATTACTCAGACGGCACGTGCCTGCGTCAGGAAGTGGCAAGTATCCAACCGATTTAATGATTTTGAAATCGATTAACTTAAATCGTAACCCACCCCTACGCGACCGAGATTAAGCTGGCAGATACAGAAAAAGACGTAACTTCACGGTACGTTTTAATTGTTGAAACACGAACCCTTACAAAGGTTGAGCAATAACATCGATGTAACTACTTAACTTTTAAATAAATCGGCCTAGAAGGAAGCCTTATAGCGGTAATTGTTCATGTTTTAAGGTGGAGGTGTTTTAAAACCTTAACAATGTTGGTGACTATTTTATTTTAATTGTAGCTTATAAGCGTATAGCTTATAGGCGAGTAGTACAGTGAGTAAAAGTAACTTCTATCTTTTTATTTCTCATAAATTGTTGTCTGTATAAAATATTACTCATATTCGCTCGTTGCAAAGGCAAACATAGCTAGATCTTCCATAATAATCTTTGCCCCTTAATGTTGCAGGTAAAGTAAAATTTTAGATTCGACACAAAACAAAGCAAAGCTGGGGTTGAATAAAATTTATACGATTGTGAACTGAAAGTTTTATGGTTAGGGTTGGGAATGGGCCAAAATTGGGGTTTCTTGTGATAGTCATATTTCAATGCGGCTTTATTAGCTGTAATGCAGAGGGTTTAACGACTTTTAATGTGCGCCAAGTTTTTTATCGAGCTCATTATGGATTTCAAAGGGAAGTGAAATCTTTTACTTCCTTGTTGAAGGACCTAGCTGGCAGCTGACATATTATAAATGTTGTGATATTCAATACTGACATAAAACATTTATAGGATTTACACAAAGTATTGGCTAATAATAACTTTGTAAAATAAATTGTGTAAGGCTTTTACGGCCATCGTTCAGCATATCATTGTCTTTCGGGCTGTTCGGCCGATGTGAGCGAGAAGAGGTTCTCGTTTCGCCATCACGTGTTGACGGCATTATCAAGAGATGTTAACTCCTCGCTCGAAGAATTATCTTATTCGCAATCGAGGAGCTAACATCCCCTGATGATGCCGTCGAGAACCTCTTCTCGCTCACATCGGCCGAACAGCCCGAAAGACAATGATAAACATTGTAGAAGTTTGACAATTAGAAAATTTAACGATTCGCTGGATATATTATGCCTAAAGTAAGATAAGACTTAGTAGTTATTTGGTAAATTTACCTATAATAAAAAGATAGAGATAAACAAAATATTTTATATAATAGATACTAACAATAAATTCTTTTGTTTCTTTTAATTAAGTAATAGTCAGAATGGCCGTTCGTTCACCATCCTGATGATGCCGGCCTCTCGTGATCGCGAATCGTTGAGAACCTCTTCTCGCTTGCGTCGGCCAAACAATCCGAATAACAATTATATGCTGGCTGTGAAAGCCTTACACGATTTATTTGTAAAATTGCTCTATAAAACGGGACTATTACTTAATTAAAAGAAACAAAAGAATTTATTGTTAGTATCTATTATATAAAATATTTTGTTTATCTCTATCTTTTTATTATAGGTAAATTTACCAAATAACTACTAAGTCTTATCTTACTTTAGGCATAATATATCCAGCAAATCGTAAAATTTTCTAAATGTCAACATAAACCCTCCCCGCTCACTCATACCGTTTGCTAATTAATTATTCTAATGTCCTAATTCCGTATAAAAACGCGAAAATGCTATATTATTAAAGTTATCAAGGAAATAAACAATATGGCCGTCGGGGGTAGGAATTAAGTACTTCATAAAAATATTAATTACTCCGATAAGTACTTGAAGCCTTTCAATTTATTAAATCACCTTTTTATCGCTTACGGAAGTTTGGAGTCAAAGTTTTTTTTTGTTGTAACAGCCTTTTTGGATTCTTATTGTGGAAGTGTAGCTACGCCACGCTTTGACTTTAACTATATTCTATTTAAAAACACATTATAGATATTACACGTATGCACCAGAAGAAGCAGAAGTCACCAATCTTAAATTCAAGTATTGATCATCCGTTACCATCCTTATCCAATATAATAATTTCAATCATTAACCAACCTGGTGGAAGCCTAAATAACTCTCGATGCTGTGTGTTGCGAAGAAAACCTCTCCCTCGCATGTCAGGATCATAAGAAAACCGTTGAGGGCCTGCAATTAATATAAAAAAAATATATTAGTTAATCCAAATAAATGTCGAAGGAAACATAAAAGCCAAAATACAAGGCGAAACAAAAGGACTAAAATATGTTTAAACATCATATTTGATGATGAAAAAACAAAACACAATAAACCAAATTTAACTTCAAGTAGCCGAGAAATTAATAAATATATATTTTTTACCACCGCTCACAAGCGTCAAAATTATCGTTTCGCATTGAACATTGGAAACGTACTACAGCGGGCCGATCGAAACGTGAAATATTGAGTACGTAGTGCATTTTATTTATAGCTTACAGCAGCTATAGATTTATTATCGAGCGATTTATGACCCGGCGGGGATGTCATTGAGAGCATTGCATGTAATTTGCTACTAGGCTTACCGAAAATTATTCTTTACGACTTATTTATTGGGTTGTTGGGGAACTTAAATATGAATTTATCGAATTATAATTCGAGTTTTACAACTTTCAAGTGCGGTCACAATGTATTGAGGGACCTGTTTTGGGTCCGCTACTCTTTATATTATATGTAAATACCTGAAGGAACATTTCCCCATCTGGCATGATGTGGTCGTAGTGCTCTCGTCTGTGTACGTGAAGATCCTCCTTCTCCTTGTGCATGACAACTGGAAGTTAAAACGTTTGTCAAAAACTTTTAAAGTAAAATATTCATTAGTGTATATTTAAACCTTATACATAAAGAGTAAGATGCCTTCTTCATTCATATTTCTTTTCATAGCTGTGTGTTATTTAAACATTGCTTCTATATCTGTAAATAAATACCAGATTCCACCCTTTATAGGCGTGGTCTTAGCGACAAATCACATCTCGAAATTGAATTGGGGATGTTTACCCCTACGCAGCATCACTATTACGGAAAATATGAAAGCAGGTCTTAAGCGTATTAGAGGAAGTTACCAATTCCTTTGGAAATGCCAGTATGTATAAATTACATCTTATTATTACTGAAAAGATCTATTAACTTTAAATAGATGATATGTATAATACATTCAGACAGAAGTAATATTTCTGATATCTCATAATGAATGAATTAATTAGGCAGTTGAATTATTTTTCACAAAAAGCAAACATAACTTTCTGTAATAAGTATCATACGGGGATAATAGTACAATTTATTCACTAAACTCGATTTCGTGACTGCGTACCATTAGTCATAAATATACAGATTAATAAAATTTGTCCTGTCAATATTAATCTAAGTGAAAATCAAACTGTCCAAGTTGTTTGAAATGGCAATCGGTGTAATTTAAGTTTTCGCTTTCGGGTTCACAAATAAAGGATAGTGTTGGCCGTTCCAATGGCCAATTACTGGAATACGTGGGACACACCATGTGTCACTAGTGTTGGGGCGATGGCTTATCGATAACCGGTGTTTACAGGGGGCGATATTAACCGAATCGTCCTTTTAAGAAAATCTTATTATAAAGTATTACAAAATTGGGTGAGTTATATTTATTTCTGTTAACCGCGATTTTTATTAAAATAATACAAAGGAAACTGTTGGGTGTAATTTTTGTGACTGTTAAATAGAAAATCTTTAACGTCAAGTTCCAAATATAACCTAAAAGCGCCTTTAACATTAAACTTTACTAAAAAATAACAAAAAACATTAAACTTTAACTAACTAAGCAATGGGATTTCGTTCTATTTTTCCAACTTATATATTAATTGTGTTTAACTGTTAATATGGAAACCATCGATATCGATAATGTTCGATACGTCTCTATACCCTTATCGAGCATTATAATCGTCATTATAGCACTATCGAACTTTTTTCCAATTGAATATTAAATCTACTGTTATCTTCGAAGCATTTAAAAGAAGGTTGCAATTTATAGAATCGGGATGATTTATTATTTTTAGAGCTACAGTATCTTTTTATTTTTTTAATAGATAAAGAGGAGGGACTGTCTACATTTGTTTCTGCGACTCGTACCTACTTCTTAAATATAACGGAACGGAAATATATTAGTAATTTTATTGGTAAATGTCGGGTCAATAAAAATAAATTGACTAATATATTTCACGTTTTATACGAACAAAGGTTTAGTACCTTTGTTCGTGGTATTATTTACTTTCGATGCGTAAGTTTATGCGATGTGGGGAATACTTCACACACTCCCCTTCACCGTATTAAAGCAGCCTTTAGACTTTTCTATTCCCGTAAATCGAACCCAGAACTTACTTAGTAAGGAAAACTCGCACACAACTCAAGATGGCTTTCAATTGTGTTTTATGAATTAAAACCGTTTATTTATAAATACTGTCTTTAGTTTACGCGAGTTGTACTCATTTAAATAAAACATTTTACGGGTTTAAAACGCGATATATATTAGTTAACCTTATAAGAAAATATTTTAAATACAGTCCAACGTTTCGGAAGCTATGCAGAAGCCGTGTACCTACACGGGAGAGTCAATCTCCTCGGTTAAAATAATTTAAATTTTCAAATATGTTTAACTGATATAAATCGCGTTTTAAACCGTTAAAGTGTTTTATTTAAATGTTTATATGTATTCAGGAATATTATTCATGCAGAACTAAGTAGCCTCTCATAGGTGTAATGTTGGCGTGTTGTCACTACCCAATGAAAATGAATATCGCTAATAGCACGCAAGAACATGGTAATGTTTGTTGTGCAAATAATCAAGTGTTAAGTTCTATACTTGGGGTGATGGACATTGATATACTATGCTGATTCATCCAGGAGTCGAAGCCTGAACCGCTGAAATTACAGCTTCTGAAAACTTTAATATTTTTCACGTACATGATGAGATTATATGAAGTTAAAATCGCTTTTAAGATTGGAAAACTTTCACGAAGCGGGTCTTCCCCCCCCAAAACAAAAAAAAAAAAAAAAAAGGAGCCCAAAAAAAAAAAAGAAAGGAGGAGGGGGGAAAAGGGGGGGAAGGCGGCGGCAAGAGGCCACCACTCCGCTAGGAAAGGATATGGCAGTCACTAGAAAGGAGTTAAATACACGTGTATGTAGTTATGCGAGTAGTACACATTTAAATAAAACACTTTAACGGTTTAAAACGCGATATATTTTAGTTAAACTTAAGTCAATTCTGTAAAGACCCTACCAGTTTCGCCAGAAACCAACTTCGACGGAACAGATGGCGCTAGCGCAGAAATTTTTACTTTGACGTCAGAGACATCCTCCATCTTTAGTCTCCCCGTGACCACGGCTGCTGCAAAGCATCCGAAACATCGAGCCGTAGTTAAAAATAAATCTCAAAAAAGTTTAACTGAAATATATCGCGTTTTAAACCTTAAATAGAAAGGAGTTTCACACTGTACTTAATGTAATACCTATTACGTCATAGGTTTTTAATTTAAAAAAGCAATAAGGCTAGCTGCTATTCACATAAGCTTTCGTTTCAATTTACAAATAAGCGTTGTTTTTGTTTATATAGTGTTGGCGTAATTAATTTATGCTTTTAGGTCATTACATGAGCGCCGTTAGGTTTTTCTGTACTCTAATAACACAAAAATGCAATTTGTTGTAAGTGCAACTTTACTACATAATTATTTTCAAGGAACTTGCGATGTGTTATTTTTTTATGTTGCCTTGATTTTTAAAACGGGAGCTAAACACTAATTGTGTGATTAATTAATGTCGTGGTCATACCTACATAAAACGTAAAAAAACGTATTGTGAAACTTTCCTTCAGATTTATTATTATACAAACTTTAAACTACATGATTTTAAAATCAAGGGTAGTTTAATATTTACTTAAAAAAGAGCAAGGAACACAAAATTTAGGAAAAATGACGTTTTAAGCAATGCCTTTCTTATAACGAGGGAGAAACTTTTTTTTATATTATGTTTGGTTTATCATAATTGATTAATATTATTTCCATGGCGCTTATTATAATCTAAATTACTTGTAACTATAAAATTGTTAGCATATTCTTAATAGACTAAATTCATTGTTATGAGATGTATATCACGTATATTAGCTTATGCCTATTTAGGAGTATTTTAATATTCAATAATGCAATTTTGTATGTATGTTTACACCGCTTACTTACCATAGGACAGATTTTAAAATTCAATTACCACGTGACTTTGAAAGACGCCTACGATAAACCTGGATGGAGTATAGTTTTAAAATTTTACTGACACATTTCATTGACTAGATTGAATAAAATAATTAACCAATTATGTTTACCTCCTCGCTCTTTTAAAGTCGGTTATAATTCCCGTTACTTAGTTCTTTTAATACCCCATTATTTCCTCCTGCTCACACTCGTGCAATCTTAACTGCTTAACTGCTATTATTTTATAGACCTACGTCACGCACCTCTAGTTTAGTCTTTCATTTCCAGAGTATGCAAACGACGGCCGAATAATACAATGTGTTTAATCTGCCTAAGGACAATTATAGATAACAAATTTGTAAAACGTTGTTTTTGAATTTGGAAAATGTTTTTAATCTGCGCATCATGTTTTTCTTTATAATTTTTAACACGATTTTTTCATTGATACACTACTACAGTAATATAAGCTAATTATAAACTGGAGTTAATCGTAGTACCAACTAACATAAAATGTTACGCAAGAATTAGTTATTATCTAAGACTATAATTTTTACAATACTTCAATAACTTCACACAACATTTTCGAACCACAGATTATAGCCTTAACGAGCAAACAAAAAGGTATAATAGTGTTTTTTCTTCGCCTCGCTGGTCAAGGGTGATATACCATGACGCGTGCCATATTGTAAAACGGTTAATAACAGCTGTTTAGAATACGTTTTTAATTATCATAAAACTAGAGTTTTTTGTGTTTAATAGGGCAAGATCTTTAGTTTATGATTCTAGGTGTATTAGAATCTGTATGAGACTTATAATACTTAGTTTTATTTCAATATAAGCAACGACGTAATGCGATAAAAATGTCTGTAAAATGATAGCACATAAATCACAAAAGGTAGCTGAAGTTAATAAAGTAATTAGCTAATTAATTTAACCGAAGATGTAGGTTCTTAGTTATTCAAGAAACGTCCGATAAAAAATGTAACTCTAAATGAATAACAACAAGAGAATAATGAATTATTGATTGCAATACATAGACTATATTTACATTTCTGAATGAATGAATTGATTTACGTCAAAAACATAAAGTCTTACATATCACTGCATGTTTTTCATTGTTTTAGAGAAAGAAATCTATCATTAATATTTAATATGGATATTGGATATTCCATAAGTCTTTTGAATAATAGTTACTTGCGTTGTTTTTTTTATACTATAATTGTTATTGTTTGTAGCTCTTACAAACTTTTCCTAAAATTATCGTTCGTTTAATTTTATTCTTCGTAGTTTATTTGGTACTTTTAGGTTTATAATAATATTCAGTCATCAATGAGATCTAGGACCTATCGTATGACAGCCAAACATTAATATCAATACAATTATATTTAATATTATGTTCTTAATATCGCAGTGCATATAGACTAGACTATATGAAACCTTATACACATTATATTATAAATATATTCTGTATCAAGAAACAGAACACGAATCGTGGTTCGTTCGCGCGCAATGTCAATTGTCAATTTTTTTTCCCGCCACTCAATATTGCATGAATA